TCCACAGCTAACATCCTATTCAATGGTTTGAGTAGCCAAAAGCTTTTCCTCTAAGATCAGGAACAAGACAAGGATGTGTACTCTCACCACTTTTATTCAACATAGTACTGGAAGTCCTAGCCAAAGCAATTAGACAAGATGAAGAGATACAAGGCATGCAAATTGGTAAGAAAGAAATAAACTGTCACTATTTGCAGATGACATGATATTATACATAGAAAACTCAACACTCTATCAAAAAAACTATTACAACTAATAACTGGGTTCAGCAAAGTTGCAGGATACAAAATTAATACACAGAAATATGTTCTATATACTAACAATGAACTAGCAGAAAGAGAAATTGGGAAAAAAATTCCATTTACAACCACATCAAAATGAAAATATCTAGGAATAAACCTAACCAAGGAGGTGAAAGACCTGTACTCTGAAAACTGTAAGATACTGTTGAAAGAAATTAAAGACACAAATAAGTGGAAACCTATCCCATGCTCATGGATAGGATGAATTAATATCAAAATGGCCATCCTGCACAGGGAAATTTACAGATTCAATGCAATACCTATCGAAATATCAATGATATTTTTCAATGAACTAGAGCAAATAATCCTCAAATTCATATGGAACTACAAAAGACCCCAAACAGCCAAAGCAATCTTGATAAAGAAATCCCTGACTTTAAGCTATACTACAAAACTACAATAATCAAAACAGTAAGGTACTGGCATAATAACAGACCCACAGATCAATGGAACAGAATAGACAGCTGAGATATAAACCCACGTATATATGATCAATTGACATATGATAAAGGAACAATGGATATACAATGGGCAAAAGGCAGTCACTTCAATAAATGGTGTTCGGAAAACTGGACATCTACAAGCAAGAGAATGACACTGGATCACTGCCTAACTCCATACACAAAAGTAAACTCAAAATGGATCCAAGACCTAAATATAAGGCATGAACCCATAAAACTCTTTGAAGAAAACAGGCAAAAACCTCTTGAACATAATCATGAGTAATTTTTTTCTGGACACATCTCCCTGGGCAAGGGAAATAAAATAAAAAGTGAGCAAGTGGGACTACATCAGACTAAAAAGTTTCTGTACTACAAAGGACACCACTAGCAGAACAAAGAGGCAACCTACAGTGTGGGAGAATATATTCATAAATGATTTATCCAATAAGGGGTTAACACCAAAAATATATAAAGAACTCATACACCTCAACACCAAAAAAAACAAATAACCTGATTAAAAAATGGGTAGAGGACCTGGACAACATTTCTCTGAAGAAGTACAGATGGCTAACAGGCACATGCAAAGATGCCACACATCACTAATTGTCAAGGAAATGCAAATCAAAACCACAATGAGGTATCACCTCACACCAGTTAGAATGGCCACTTCAAAAGAAAAGAAATAAAAAGTATTGACGAGAATGTGGAGGAAAGGGAACCCTCATGCATTGTTGGTGGAAATGTAAATTGCAGCCACTAAGGAAAGCAGTATGCAGGTTCCTCAAAAAAATGAAAACAGAAATACCATTCAATGCAGTAATCCATTTCTAGGAATTTACCGTAAGAAAACAAGTTCCCTGATTCAAAAGGACATAATGCACCCCTATGTTTATTGCCACATTATTTACAATAGCCAAGATATGGAAGCAACCAAAGTGTCTGTCAATAGATAAATGGATAAAGAAGATGTAGTGCATATACACAATGGAATATTATTCAGCTATAAAAAAGAACAAAATCCTGCCATTTGTGACAACATGGATGGGCCTAGAGGGTATTACACCAAGTGAAATAAGCCAGGTGGAGAAAGATAAATATCATAAGATTTCACTTATCTATGGAATCTAAAAACAAAGTGAACAAAATAGCAATAGACTCATAGACACTGAGAAGTGACTGGTGGTTACCATCAGGAGGGGTTGGGGTGGGTGAAGGGGATAGGGGTACAAAAATCTCAATCATGATATAAGTTGGTCTTGGGGATGGTAGTATAACATGGAGAATATAGCCAAAGCTTCTGTAATATATTTCTATGTTGACAGTAACTGCACTAGATGGGGTGAGAATTTAATAATGTGTGTTAACTGTTGAACCACTGTGTTGTACACTTTAAAAAAATGTAATATTGTATACCAACTACACTTCAATAAAAAAAAGAAAATGTGTAACTATGTACAGCAATGGACATTAACTAGACTTATTGTGGTAATCATTTTGCAAAATATATATATATGGAATCATTACGCTGTACACCTGAAACTAATACGTCAGTTGTACCTCAATTTTTTATAAAGTCGTAAGTAAAAAAAAAAAAAGAGAGAGAGAGAGAGAGAAAAGAGGGAAGAGACCCAGGGAAAGAAAAAGGGGCCAATCGCTCTCTTTTTTCCCAGCATTGGCAGTAACAAAGAGACAAGGAGAAAAAAAAATACTCCTTAAAGTTCATGTTTCTTGTCCCTTTCTCCCCAGTTCTCATCATCACTAGCTTAAAGTTACTATTCCATGTTCCCACTGTATTTACAGTTTGGGGTCTGGAAAGAAATCCCTCTTCCTGGGAGGGCTGGTGTGCTAAGGGTGTTATAGGGATGTAGGTGGAACAGGAAAGACATTTAGAGTTCAATCAAATAAAGAAACGGTGAATGTGTTTTTCCACAGTCATAAACTAAACCTACATTCTACAGTGCTATGCTTCAAAAACATTACAGTATGAAAAGGCTTCTGTGGGTTCTGGAATCTACAAGCCCTTTAACATAGTTTCTGCAAAAATTAATGTATAAATAAATTAAATGTTATAATTTGTATATATTTAATTTATATATAAGTAAACTTAATTTTAAAATCCATTTATTATGTGAGAATTGTTTATATATTTAAGAGCTATAGCAAAGATACCTATCCTCCCACCAATTAGTCAGTGTTGGCTAGAGAGACTAGAAAAATTATGAGGTATTCAAGTAAGGACCAGGACCATGAAGATGGAAAACAAAAAAAGTTTTTAATTCAGCAGTACAGAGTAGCAATGAAAAACTATTCTAGGGAGGAAAGTCAAGATTGCCCTAAAAAGGGAGCATGCTACCCGCCTGTATAGATAAACAAGGATCTTAGACTTAAGAGTCCAATGGATAAAGGGAACTTGTACTACAGAGGAGTGGTAAGCGAGTAAGCTATATTCACTATCTGCTCTATGCACGTGACATGCTTCCAAATCCTCATCCGTGACTTTTGTTACCATAAATAGGAGTTGCCCAAATGCAAAGTTGTGAAGACAGAGTAGGTGATAAGGAAGGTTACTTTAATAAGTCTGTAGCCCCAACACACAGTGGCCAACCCCTCAAAATGGTATTTGGAAGATCTGGAAGAATCTAATAGATACAATATATTTAAGTGGTCTTTTTCTCTTGTTTATTCCTATAAAATATTTCTGAAAAATAGCTTCTATTTTATTGCAGGGCACACATCTTATTCTGTTAAATGCACACATGGACACATACACACACCTTCTCTTTCCTACACACACATGCACAAATACAACTGAATTTCACTATTTCACATTTTTAACTGTAGGACCTATTGTTCTCTCTAGTTCCCCATACATCCACCTAAACAGCAAGAAGGAAAAATGGAAAATGGAAATTCATTCTTGCATTTCCTATACTGGTAGTTTGGGAGTGATTTTGGCCTGAATGACTTATGATGTGGTTCATTGCTTCTATGCTATTTTCACCTATTAATGCCAAAACTGAAAACTGATCTCAAGGGTACCACTGTATCTAATTAAATGACTTTCTATCTTTAATCTAGTACCATTCAGCAGCATAATTTTTACTGAAGAAACTGAAGCAAGTTTGGACTTTCTTTTAAATAGCATAATTTGCCTTGCTAATGGCAAATGTTACCACCTCTTTTTATGCCTTCCTAAAAGACTTTCAAGAATTGTCACAGTACTTTAAAAAAGAAGAAAATTGAAACATTGGTGAAGCTGGAAAATTTCATCATCATTCTTTTTTGACATATTATCTCTTAGATTTCCCAAGTAGGAACAATGGTAACGGTTCTCATCATATTTCACCATGAATCATCTCATTCTTTTACATTTTCTCTGTAGAGACCCCAGAGACCATTGTAACTGAATGCCCCAAAAGGAACTACCATTTTCACTGGATTTTATAGGAGGAAGAATACAGAATGAATTTTGTTTTACCCCTAATATAAATGTTTGCTTGGAACAAAGAAGTGGCTTTGCTTCCCAGTCTACAGTCACCTTCTGAGGAAGGTGACAGTAATCTTTTTACACTGATTCTCACCACTACAGTAACTTCTAGCTATGAGTCGTTATAAAAAGAGTAAGAAATTTAATTAAAAATAATAAATTAGAAGAGAAAAGAGGAAAATAGAGAAGCATTGAAGGCCATGGTGAATAAAATTAGCTTCCAGTAGAATTTTTAAATAATAAAATGAAGCAATCAAGAAGGAATATAAAAACAATCAATCTAGAAGAAAATTAACTTCTAGAAAATAGAAATGTCTAGAGTTACATCAATACTATGGTAATCTTTGCCAGAAAGTGCAGAAGAAAATGTTAAAAGTCCCTATAGTTGTTCTACATTAATATGCAAGTTTATCTGCTGAAGAGTTACTTGAGAAATCAAAAACATTAAGGAATATTTTCAAACAGTTGTGAATAGAAATCCAAAATGTATAAACAGTTTTAAAATGCATTTTCCTACTCTCCTACTCTATTGAAATAAATTTAAAAGACAATACAACGTTTAAATAAATTTTCATTCATAAATGCAACATAAGGGGGCTCTTATTTTCCTTGTTGCCTGCCACTAGTGGATAATAAATTGGGAGCAAAAGGTGATCTAACAGCTCTTTCTTCCATGCCGCTATGATACTATTTACTAAAGTTAAAAGTGTCAAGAAAAAAATGTGATAAAGTCAACAGTCCTCTAATTTGAAGTTTTTTATTTCTTACCATGTCTTTTCCATCTATGACCTCTTATTGACATGCTGGTTACTGCATTTCTTGATATTCTAGAGGAAGTTGGTGTTATTTCAACTTGAATACACCTTGTACCCTCTTTACTAGATTTCATGGTGCCATGAGGCAATGAAGCCTTTATTGCATTAGCAACCTAAGAAGAAAACACATAGTTTATGATTGGTATTAATGGATGTATTATTATACCCTAGATAAAACAAGTGCTATATATTAATAGGGTTTGAAAAAGAATACTTTGTCCAAGGTATTTCATAAAATGACATAAATCTTCCAGAATAAGGAGTTAGAGTTCAGAAGGAAACTTAAGGTTAAAAAGAATATGTAAGTGATGAAATTTAAAATTCCAAAATATTGAATTATATTTCCAAATGCCTAGTGCTAATTTATAAATGCAGAACTACCATGCTAAGGAAAACATTCTTATGTTTAAAAAGACCATTTATCACCCATATAAGAAGTCAGCCTAATGAAATTTTCAAATTTTATTATATGTACCCTATCAAGTACAAAATTTTCCTACTATAACAGGAGCATGAATTACTGAGTATTAAGGACATATTAATGCACTATGAATGGTTACTTCTCAACCTATAGTTCCAAACTGAGAAATTCTAAATTATGAAATTAACATAAATAAGTGAGGCACCCACCAGCAATGGCTCTGGATATAATTCTAGCTGGGCTCGGTATGTAATATCATCCAATGCTTTTTGTGCTAGGTCCCATTCACCATTATAACTATAAAATTAAGGAAGGAAAGTATAATTATTTTAAATTAATTCTGTATAACTGAACAAAATATAATGAGAAACTGCTATCTTTACTGAGGAAAATAATAGATCACATAAGCACATTGCTTAGCATTCCATTCTCCTGAAAAACATTTTTAAATCTTTGAATTTCTTTCAATTGTATCTGAGCCTATTAATAGCAAAGAAAACTTTATAGATATAAACTTCCTCTCTAAAGAATATGTCTTTTTTATAAAACAGACACCAAAAAAGCTAGACCATCTCAAAGCATTTTACTTTCAACGCAAGTCAGAGCATAATAAATTATATAGTTTAGAATAATGTTCAGAACAATTTATGGTCAAATTACTCTGTAACTCCCACAGTTTTTAATGAGAATCTACAACTACTGTGGCTCACAGTATCCTAAGTAGTTACTTCTTTGCTTCCTGATAGTCATTTAGAAGTGTATGTGATGTATGGTACAAATATCAAAGAGATACTGGGAGAATAAAATGTGTGTATATATTGATGTTCAAGGATATGGTCTAAAAGTCAGCTAAATGATGAAAATGGACAGAAAAATAATGGCCGGTCATCTGCCAACAAAATAAAGAAATTTGAGTTACATCAAAAGTGCAAGTGAGATCTGAAAAATGGAGACCATTGCTTCTACCCTACAAACAAGAGAAAGCCAGGTAATCTGCAAAATCATAACTTTTCATGAATCCGGCAAAGGGCTAAGTTCACTGGACAACCAAGTAGTCTGAAACCTAAGGGCAGAGACAGAGAGGCTACAATGCAAATGGGTCAGAAGAATTCAGCTAAAGTTTTTAACAAATTACAAGCCAAGTACAGGCCAGCATAGGAGTATAGAATCTCTGGGAGCAGATACAAGGGGACTCAGACCCATTCACAAGCTTTCTCCCCAAACCTTCTTCAGGTGCTCACAAGAAAAACTGGGAGGAAGGTGGGGAACCAGACAAAGCTGCCCTTAGTCGCACAGGCCTGAAGGAGAATGACCACCGAGAAGGAAAGGCACTAATATCCAGCCAGATGCTTTTCTTATGTGGAACAAAAGTTTTAAAGCCTTTGGGAGAGAGCAGCAAGCCCTTTCACCCAAGGACAGAGGTGAAAACTACTGTTGCTGGGACAGAAAGAAAAAGAAAAAAAAACCTCTATCTGTGGGGCAGGATCAAGAACTCATCCCATGCTGAGACCACTTGAAGTCTCTCACCACTGGAGGAGGGGCAGGAACACAGGGCCTGCTTATAACTGAGGCTGCATCAGGACAACAGAGAACACCACTTCCCCACCCCACACTCCCAACAGGCTGGGGCACTTAGAAACAAGCAGCAGCAAAGCTATTGCTGGAGGAGGGGCAAGAACATGGAGAGAGACATCTGTGGTACAGACACGAAGGATGGAGCAGATACTGAGAAAAACCCTCCAGCATGCCAGACCCCACTCTAATCACCAATAACAGGAGAGGAATCTTTAGTCGGTGGTGCATGAAGGTAACCATAGCAACAACAAAATCCACCCCAGCTCACTCCTATAGCTCCACTTGCAGCCAAGAAGAGGCATTCCCACTCCAGGCATAGTAATATTTACCTCAGTCTCTACTGTTCTGTTCACAAACAAAACGGTGATCAATCAAATATTACCAGTTACACAAAAAGCAAGAAGAAAACAACCCACTGTCAGGAGACAAAGAACAATAGAACCAAATTCAAAGATGACTCAGATTCTAGAGTTATCAGGGAAATTAAAATAACACAATTAATATATTAAAAGCTCCAGTGGAAAAGATGGACAACCATGTGAACAAATGGGGATTTCAGAAGAGAGATGGGAACTGTAAGAAAGAGTCAAATGAAAAGGCTAGAAATAAAACACAGAAACAGAGATGAACTCCTTCAGCAGGGTCAGTGGTGGACTCAACCCAGTTAAAATCAGTGAGGGTGAAGACAGATCAACAGAAATTACTCAATCTGAAACAAAGCAAAAAGAGAAAACTTAATAGATGAGCACATCTAAGAACTGTGGGAGATAGAATCAGCTAACACAGGGGTCGACAAATATTTTCTTAAAGGGCCAGTATTTTAGGGTTGTGGGCTTTAAAGTCTCTACCACAGCTACTCAGCTCTGTCACTGCAGTACAAAAGCAGCCATAAATACAGAAACAAGTAGATGTGACAATGTGCTAATACAGCTTTAAAAAAACTGGCAGGTGGACAGATTGGCCCAATGATCATAGATTCTGCCTTCAGTCAAGAAGCTTATAATCTACTATGGAAAACTAAGGTATCAAGTGACTACAATGCAAAGCATAGTAAGGTATGTGTAGCAAAAGAATTACAGTATAAAAGGGTTCAGAGAAAAATATCAGTTTTAAGGCATTAAGACTGAGTATCAATATTAGAAATTAATAGTAAATTATTAATAAACTATTCACAGTCAAAGAGGCTCTAAGATGTTTTTCAAGAGTTAAATTTCTGGAAATAGAAATAGACATTCATTGCAGATGAAAAGCTATTTGGAAATTACAGCAAAAATAAGAGTAATGAAGAAATGAACTGTATCTGAGTATATGTAGGTGTTGCTAATTTTCATTCTGTCCTTGAATTACAGAAAGATGATGAAGTGTTTCAGGTGGTTACAAATTCTTCAGAATATTAAAATACATGTTTTAAATAATAAAATTATTATCAAGATCTTGATTCATATTCTTTCACAAAAGTATGCTGATTGCTCATCTATTCAAATTATAATAGTAACAATAACAAACTATAATTTTCCAAAGTGATCAAAGGTTTACTTTGTATATGAATCAGACTTACAAGGCAAAATAAATCCCTGTTAACATCTGCACCAGGAATCCTGAAGAAACTGGTATCCTGCTACTTATACCTTTGTATTTTCTTACATGTTGCCTGGGATATCCACAAACACAGATTCTAGAAAGACCAAAACAAATATATTGGTAAAATTGGTAAAGATTTAGATAATTTATTTCTTAACATTTATAAGCCAACAATGTATTAGGTATGCTATCATAATAAACCTAATAGCTATAAAACAAAGTATCTTTCCTTAAAGATAGATACTTTCTATCTAAAGATAGAAAAATTGTAACATTTTCCTGAGTAACTTAGACTGGGGAAAAAAATGTATAAAGCTAAATGTTCATACATATTAAGGGACAGTCTCAGAGTTGGTTCACTAACTTTGGTCAATTCAATGATTAATTTTTTATTTCTGTAAAACCAATTACAAGGAACTTGGCACTATTTATCATAAACAGATCTGTGGTACGATCCTCTGTTCCTAACAAGGTTCTTGACCCAAATTGCAAGCTTCAAAAAAAATACTCTAAAATTACACTCAAACCTCAAAAAATACACCTTAATAAATTTCAGATAGATTAAAAAGAAACCATAAGAGAAATAAAACATAAGCAAATAGTTATTCTTTGCATGCCTAAATATGACACCAAAGGTAGAATCCTAAATAAAGACCAACAGAATTTATTTAAATTTTTAAAGAAGCTACCATAAACAAAATTTAAATGTAAAGAAGTATTTATTATAGTGAAGGGTATTTAAGGAGTACTAAAGTTAAAGAGTATTTATTATAGTGAGTAGGACGCCATCTAAAAGCCCAACACAGGGGACCAATTATATAAATCATTCAGAGAAAACTATAAAACAATTAAATGTGTTTTGAAAATCTTTTAAATGATGGAATAAAAATTTATGAAACAACACATGCAGCCCAATCCTGTTTTGTATTAACCAAATGGGTGAATAGCATGTTTCACTGCACAAAGATCATATATAAAGTCAGAGAATTATCTCTGAGCTGTGGGGATTATAGATTTATTTTCTTCTTTATATTTAAATGCATTTTCTAAATTTTCTGCATTTCTAAATGATCAACATGTATTATTTTGAAAATGGTAAGTTTCTATTTTTAATAAAACTGGAATATAGCTATTTCCTCATAATATATTGTGGTTGCTATAATACAACCTTCACTTCATTAGTACTAACCAATAGACTGTAATTATTTAACCTCTCCCCTATGCAATTACAACCTGGGACTTAATATTTCCTTTACCCAATGAATCTAAACCCTCACTAAACATACCCAAGTATACCATAAACCATATCAAAAATATCCCCCTGAAGATATCATTAATTCAAAGCAACTTTAAAGAATAGATATAAATTCATTCAATATTGAGAGGACCTTAGAATTCCCTAGAACCAAGAGTAAAAAGGACTAGGGATATTTATGGACCAAATGTTTGTGTCCCCCACACAATTCATATGTTGAAGCCCTAATTCCCCCAGTATGATGGTACTGGGAGGTGGAGCCCTTGGGAGTAACTAGGTTTGGATTAATTTCTGATGTTGGGGCCCACTGATGGGATCAGTACCCTTATAAGAAGAGGAAGAGAACAAAGCTCACTCTCCAACACAAGAAGACACAAAGAGAAGGCAATTGCAAGTAGGCAAGAGGGCCTTCACCAAAAGCTAAATCTGCCAGCACCTGACCTTGGATTTCCCAGCTTCCAGGACTGAGAAATGAATGTCTATTGTTTAAGCCAATCAGCCTACAGTATTTTGTTACAGCAGCCTGAGATGACTCAGACAGAAAACTGAGAAAACTTGGCTGTGCATATCAAAAATATCCTCCTGAAGATATCATTAATTCAAAGCAAGTTTAAAGAATAGATATAAATTTTGTCTGATATTACAAAAACCTATACTCCTATACAAACCAGAATACTCCTCTGACTCCTACTACCTAAAGGAGCATACTTAGACAAAAAATTTTTTCTTACACCTTATACCTTTATGATAGGGATAATAGTAAATAGTAGAGAATCAACATGTGAAAGATAGGCTTTTTCAATTAATTCATTTATTCAGTAAATATTTTTTCTGTGTCAGATACTATGGATATAGATGAAGAAATAGTTCCCACAAGAATTCAGTCTAATCATGGTGACTGTGTAATAAACAAGTATTTACAATGAACAAGTTACAGGGGTAGCAAAAGGAGGGAGAGGCAGACTCTACTGGAAGTAGTAGAGGAGCAGAGAAGACTTCCCAGAAAGATACTCCTTTGAACTGAGCCTTGAAGAAACATGGTACTTTCCAGGTGAAAATAAAGGAAAAAGCAAAAGCAGAGAGGAATAGAACAGCATGACACCAAGGAGACTGGGGAAATTTCAGTAGGATAGAATACTAGAACACCAGAAAATAACAGAGAAGCTTGTTAGAGGTCAGATCATGAAGTCACATCTTATAACCTGCAAGGCTTATATCATTATATCATGTAGGCAAAGGGAAGCAACTAAAGGTTTTTGTTTTGTTTTAAGCAAATGGAGTAACATGATCAGATTAGAGTTTGGATAATGCCACTCAGGTTTATTAGAAGAGTTCACTGAAACTAGTGTGGGGAGTGTCAAAATATCCCAAGAGTGAGATGAAGGGAACCTGAACTAAAGAAGTAATTGTGGGGAGAAGGAAAAATGTTGGGATTGGAGTCACATCCAGTAGGATAATTAGGGGTAAGACTGAAGGAATAAGAGGAACATATAATTATTCCCACAGTCAGTTTGGATAGATGGCTGGATTATAATGCCACTAAATGAATTTGGACAATAAGACATGCTGTTTTGGAAGACGACAAGTTTCAGATATGTTGATTTGTAGGTATATGGTACAGATGTCACTTCTGTCCACTACATCCTCTCCCCCCATCCTGCCTTCCATTAATAGCCCCTCTATCCCTCTTACCTTAAGGAACTAGTCTTCCCCTGTATAATCAAGTATAAACACATGATTGTGGTGTGGCTGCCAGTAAAATTATCTGTAACAAGAGATCACTACCCTACCATCTGTTTCCCTTCTTTCTTTTAATACATAAGGTAGGCTCTCCTCCACTCTATCCACCAATTTTAGCTAGAACAATAACTACCTGCTAGAGACCTTATTTTCTAGGCTTCTTTGCATCTGTGTGACCTTGTGACTAGTTCTGGACAATGGTCTTTTAATTGACAATGGTACAACTTCTAGGTTGTACCCCTAAAGAGCAGCTGTACGCCTTCTACTCTTTCCCCCAGCTTATAGGAGAGAGGGCAGTTATAATAGTAGTGACCCATCACCATACAGACAAGAGTAATGCTCTACGGAATGGCAGAACCCCAAGAAAGAAGAAGAGGGAACACCTTAGAAACACAGCCAATATACCCCAGACCATCTACCAGCTTGGACTTTCATGGTAAAGAAAAATAAATACCTACTTAATTTTAAGTTACCATTATTTATTTTTGTTAAAACAGTCAAACCATTATTTAAATTGATACAGTACTCTTTCAATAATACCACCCAACATGGCCCCGGGGTTAGAGGTGTTGTGGAAGCCTCAGGCTGGCATGACCAGAGCCTTTTGCTTGATTGCTTTTCATAGTGAAGCTGGGAGAGATGTTCTTTCTTCTGCATTCACTAAAAGCTGCTTGGATCTAGTTGGCTCTGAGGCCAGTTCCATCCCTGCAATTCTCAGAGCAAAATTTCCCTTTGCCATAATCTAGTTTTGTGTAGATATCAGTTGGTTGCAACGGAAAGAGCTCTAACGTTTATAAAGTATCTATGGGACATCTTGATAGAGATGGTTACTGAACTGGATACACAGGCTTAGAAATCAGGAAATAAGTATGGGTTCAGAAGAGAGGATACATTCAGAAAAATAAGTCATAGCTGTTACTACACAATTTTTTAAAAACAACTTTGCCATAGATCTAGGATGGCCAGTCAACTTTTAAATTTACTTTAGATAAGAACTAGAGAGATAATTCTCTCAAACATGAATACTCTTGAAAGACTCACAAGGGAAATAAGACTCTCGTTTTCTCTGTAAGATGCCCATAAGGAAATAAGCAGTCATCTATTAAAGGATGAACTAAAAGTTTTATTCAGAAATGCAAAGGGTTAGAGTCTTGGTCCATTCATGCCACTGTAACAAAGTACAACAAATTGGTAGCTTATAAACAACAGACACTTATTTCTCACAGTTGTGGAGGCTGGAAGCACAAGATGAGGGTGCCAGCATGGTCAGGTAAGGGCCCTTCTCAGGGCTGTGGACATCTTGTTGTATCCTCACATGGCAGAAGGGGTGAGGGAGTTCTGAGCCGTCTCCTGGTTAAGAACACTAATCCAACGCATGAGGGCTCATGGCCTAAGCACTGCCAACGGTCCCATCTCCTAACAGACCCACATCAGGCATTAAGATTTCAATATACGAATTTGGGGGAGAAACAGATATTCAGACCATAGCAGTTAGTTTTTCATAACTACTAAAACTACCCAAACTGCAGCAATTGACTACAGGAATTTTGCATTTATCAATGAAAGAGTTCCTTTAAAAAGCAAAAACCAAATTATTTCCTTTAATCATAATTGTACTTAATGAGCCATAAATCTGAAGAGATCACATATTATTTATTCATTTAACAAATATTAATTATTAAGTATCTACTGTATGCCAGGCACTTCTCTCAACTCTGAGGAATCGGCAGTGCATGTAACATGAAGTTCCTGACCTCACGAAGTTCCAGCAGTGCCAGACTACCCAAATGAACAAACAGGGAATTACAGTGTTGTAAGTTCTAAAAGGAAATAAACTGGGGTGGGACGGTGCTACTTTAGAAAAGACGGTCATGGAAGGCCTCTCCAAGGAAGTAACATTTGAGCCGAGACCCAGACTAATAATCTACTCCTATCCAGGTGCATCTCATTCTCTGTTGAGAAACACTGTCTCATTCTTAGACTGAAAGTGCTTCTGAAGTGTTGGTCCTTTCTTTCTTTCAGTCAATAACAAAGTTTCCACTGAACCATAGTGAAATGGGAAGGAAAGCTGAATAATCCATTTTTAATTATAAATTGCTATTCTTCTCTCCCACTCTCCCCCCCTTTTTGGTGTTAAAATTGTCTTCCCTTTGGTAAATAATGTTGATAGTAGATATTTATAATATAATGACTTGCCAAAATAAAAAGTGGCAACACTATGTGGATACCTCACCTGCTCCAGCTTTTTTGAAATTTTATAGATCTGTGAATTCAGAACTCTAGGCATTTCTGCCTTTAAAGGACTTAAAACAAGAAACATATTAGAAAGACTCAGTAAGTGGGAGAGATTGCACATTGGTACTATCTTCCAAAGTCTGGGAAATGGGATTATGCTCTGGGATAATGCTCTGATTCAGGAATCATCTGAAAGATTCCTCATTTTGCTATCCTCTCAAAAAAGCCCTTTGCCTTGTTACCTCCTTCCTCCCTCTGGTCCTGCGTGGTTTTCTATTCTATTTAGTATCAGTTTCTGCTTTTTCTGTTTGTTTTGACCTCTATGTATTGCTCTATGCACCCTCCCTCTCACTAACTTACCAAAATAGTATTTTCTAAATAAGTTCCTCAAGTCTAAATCATTCTCAAAGTTCCTCAGTTCTACATTTTTTCTTATTTATTTGAATTACCAAAGGCATTCTCTCTTGTTTTGTTTTTTTGAAAAGGTAGCATGTTCATAGAAAATTTGGAGAACAGAAAACCCACACAGGAAAAAACTTAAATAAATCATATTTACACCAACTAGACATAACTATTGTTAATATTCTGGTCACATTTAGTCAATGTTGCAATTATACCAAATATATTATCATTAATACTCTTTTAAATCAGAATTTTTAATGTTTGTATAATATAACTAAGGACTATCATAATTTATTTATCTAACCTCTTGGCTCAATTTTTTTGTAAATAAGTAAAGTTAAAAAGCCTGTGTCTCTTACTTATTTCTTGGAACAAAATTAGAGCACAAGAAAATAATAATAATAACAGAAACCAACCACATGCCAAAAATTGAAAGGTTATCACAGTTCCATCCTCTTAATCATATAGTATGATCCTTTTTTTATTAAATATTCCATTGAGATATTATTCAGCTTTATTACCCTCTTCACAGTGTTCTATCACTTACAGGTAGCTTTCTTTATGTTAATTAGACTGAATTTCAGATTAACTTAATTAATGTTTTAAACAAATGATCAAACAAAACAAAGATAACTTAGATATGTAACAAACAGGCAATCCTAGATTAATATATTTCAATATTAAAAACGTCTAAATTTTAATTTACCTTGAACAGATCTGACACAGTGATTGAAGAGAAACACTAGGCATATAGGTCAAGGCAGCATTGTAACACAACAAAAGGAATGTCAAAACTTCAAACCTAAAGATAAACCAAAAGATATTTACAAATCTTATAATTTAAGAAGTCAACCATAATAAAGCAGGCACTGGGGAGAGATACTATGGTATGTAACAGACCTGTACAATATAATCACACTAATTAACAATACAAAAAAAAAAAAAAGAAATAGAAGACTTCCCAAGGTAATAGTCTTAGGAAAATTATCTTAATTCAATGTTCCAGATGACAACTGAAGCAAAGCAGAAGTGACAAATCAGGAAGATGTGTTTTCCTCTTGTATAAAATGACTCAATTTTTTTTTAAATTTTCACACACAACTCATTTAACATTATTTGTAAATCTATTGAAATAATTTTGTTTTAATCAGTGTGGTAGGACAGGAGGTTATATTTCCACAGTATACCTATTCTGTGCTGTCAGCATCTCCCTTTGGGGGTGAGGTCCACTGTACACAACTTTTGACAAACCATGCTGGGAGAGTGCACTCTCAGTCAAAGCCATTGACCCAATGCTGGAAGGCTAAAGAGAAGACATTTGAATAAAGAAAAGAGCCATTCTGTGGAAAATGTGATATTCAGAACATATACATTACTAATTGTCATGAATAGCATATATCTTAAAAATATTCAGAGTTCCTACTAAATTTTCTGCTCAGGGATTTAACAAATAATTAAAAACCAAATGACAAGTAGAAAATATAGTTTAATTTTTAAAATTCTACCACAGAAATACATGATGGCCACACAAAAAAATTAGGCTAGTCTTATCCATCAGGAAAGAAAAATATTTCAAAATGAGTACATTCAGTAGATCTCTTACAATGAGATTTTAAAGTTTAATGCTTTTGATTTCTCATTTCACTTTGTGTGGTGTTTTATACTTTTAAGGTATTACTAATTTGATCAAATTTTTTTTTTTTTGCTTCAAAAACCAGACCCTAATTTACAGCAAATTTACTGGTAAAATTTCACTTACTTCATGATACACTGATGGTTTGGATAAAGATGGAATCGTAAAACTCAATACTTTGCTATGACCATGTTTGTCAACTATTTCCTACAAAAGTGAAATAAAATATCTTAAAATATTTATTACATATAAATTTAAAAGCTAAATTAAAATTTTTAGTCTTAAAAAAAAAGACCTGAGAGGAAATGAATCTTTAAGTCAACTAAAATCTTAAACTATGATACCCGTTTCTAATTATTCATAAACACTAAGAGTTAACCTTCCACTTTTAAAATATAAGCAACATAGTTTTAAGGATAGCTGAAATACAGATGCAGTGTCTTAATAATCATTGATTTTTCTCATGTAAAAAGTTAGTTTCTAAATCAATTAACATAGTTATGAAATCTGTCAAGAAAAGGTCCTTAAGTGCCTTTTCCATTTTAGAAAGTACAAACCTTAAATATCTAGAATACCATACTAGTTAATATACAAACACTACTAATAGTGCCAATTATTTGTTAAATCAATGGTGTGAATTCTGGAGGCAGCCCAGATTTTATGGAGTTATTAGTGGTAGATATTAGACTAGATCTTTTCTCCCAAACTTTTTTATGAAGGTCACAAACTGACAGTTTATTGACAGTGGATTTCAAGTTTAAAATGCAATGGTGATATTTTTAGAAACCTCTATAAAAATAACTGAAACGGTCTAATTTTCAGTCTTCGATCAATCCAGGAAGGTATATTCACATAACTGAAATGCACATATAGCCCTCAACCTTCATAAAGTTATTTTTTGGGGGAATGAACTATGAGTCACTTGATGTATGAAAAGAAATTTAACTTTAGTGAAGTGAAAAGTAGTTGGTGATTAATGTATTTGCTTTTGCTGAAAAGGTTATATATTTCCTTTTACCAAAAAACATCCTATTAACTACATCAAAATACAAACCAAATTGTAGACCCCTAAAAGAAGAGCTTCGATGCATCCACTGCTATGCACATTTCTGCTGGCCGACACTGCAAGGTAGCACCAAATCAGTTCTGGAAGAAACTGCAGTGTGAATCGAAGCAACTGCTCCTCTCCACTGCGATAGAATTCAAAGAGCTGGTGACAGACAGGTTCCAGCAACTGGAAACAGATGAAGTGTTAATTCAAGGATAGGACTGTGTTTCAATGACACTGATACATGAAATATAAAAGGTTTTCCCTGACTGGTAATTACTGAAATACATAAATGTTTCTGTTGAGGGGGGAATCAAAACTATTCACTGCCAAACTATTCAGTAAACCTTTAAAGTGGAAGACCAAGGAGTGCAAAAGAAGCATATATGGAAGCACTCTGTAAACTTTAAAATATTTTGTAACTCTAAGGTGCTACTGTTATTAAAGCTGTATCTTTTTAATTTCTTAAAATAGCTAGGTTGTAAGAAGTTTCTTCTTTAATATCTTTTCTTCTGATAAAACATGGAAATGTATAAATGACTGGCTACAGGGTTGTAGAAATTGAAATTGGAATCCTAAGTAGTTACTGTCACACTGCCCTCCTGAGCTTGTACCTAGGTAGCATCTGACAGCAATGCCTCATGTGTAAAGTAGTTGAATCATTATAGAACCTCTTATGGATCTACACAGATTCAGATCCCTAGTTAATCTAAACACCGCTATCACTGTTTTTTTAATGTCATTTGGAGTTATCTATAACCTTTCACTCTCCTATCACACCTCAGCATTATCTACTAAATAGAGCTGACTTTATAATAGACATCTTTTTAAGATTAAAAAGTTAAGAGACTCTTATAGGTAAGTATTTCCTTAAAGCATATATAGTGATCATGCACAAGCTACAAATAAATATGTAAAGAGATTCACAGGCTACTGATTTTTCAATCCATCATGCTATTATATTTGTAATGAACTATGTAATTCATTCATTTCATTAACTTAGGCAATAGATTGAAGTCAACTGACAAAAGATTTTCTACTAATAATAACTGTAATGAATGATACTCATTTACAGTGGATGTTTTTATTTCAAATAAGTTAAATGTTATATATAAACTGGGCATAATTAAAGTCAGTACTATTAATATAAGGTATTATACAAAAGTACACATTTATACTTTTGCTATAGAAAGTGTTACACTTCAATAAACATTGATTAAGTCAAACTAGTCTTTCCTATTGAAAAATTATCTAATTTCTGACAGTTAAGGAATATTTTTTCCACTCTCAAAATAGTTGTTAGAGGGCAACTGGCATCCACTGTGGCATGGCAAAGGTAACAAGAAACTGGAGGGTCAGAGACAAAGTAACCACATTTACAGAGAGCAAGAAAAGGTTTTAGGGTATAAATTTGAGAGAATGGGGTTGGGGTGGTTGGAAGAAAGATTAGTAGGGAAATATTTAGGTTTCAGAGTGGAGTTTTCAAATTTCTTTATGAACCAGCATCAGTAATCTTTTATTGTGATGCAACATCCTCATCTCTAAATACCTGGGAAAACTTTCATTGAATCAATTGATACAGTCTAACAAGAGTTTGCAAAATTATGAAACCTTATGTTGAAAATTTATTCAATAGTCTACATGAACAAAATCAATTTTGATCAACACCCTCAAAACACCTTATAATCAATTTAAAAATCCTAAACTAAGAAGGCTTTTTTTTTATCAAAGCAGAATGAATGAAGACAGATTCAAAGTGATGTAGAAATTATGTGCTGCCATGAGATTAGATAAAATTATATATACTAAACTGACAGAGATAAATACCAATATCTGTGCAGTGTTTTACAGTTTGCAAAGTGCTTTCACATACATGAATCCATTCAATTCCCACAACATTGTAGGATAGAATATTATTATCCATACTTTTTACATAAAGCAATTGACACAAAGAAGCTATCTACTATCACCAAAATCACACAGCTCACAACGGTCAGAAATGAGGCCAAGGCTTTTTGACTGCTTTATCAACATACCTGAAAAATAACAGAAAAGAATAAAACAAAATACAGTGTGGAAAATACAGGTGATTTATCTTTCTATTTTTTGAGACAAGCAATGGAGAATTAGAACACGCTGTGTTCCTAGTGTCTAAAATACATTAAAATTTTTATATATTTTCTCATGGGAACATTGTTATATTTGATAGGTAGGTTTTAGAGTACTATTAAGAGAGAATTACACCTCAAGTATAATGTGTTAAATGGGCTTTTTATGGGTCTAATGAGAAACTAATCATCATGTACTTTCTTTCCATTCTAAAATACATTCTGAATTCTAAAACAACTAAGATACCAGTGAACTTTTACAACAATCCAGTCATAAGAAGTCTGTATCCTAAGAGAGAGCTCTAACAGTAATAAAAATGTAACATAAAAATGCTTTTAAGTAACTAAAGCAGGGATAGAAGATGGGAAAGAGTTAAGTATGGGTAAATTCACAAAATCTTGCAAATGTTTTTGCACTGAACAATTACTGAGGACATAGGTAGAAAAAAGATACAGAAAACTCAGAAGGACACCATTATTCAGGTGCCAGTAGCCACTGAACTGACCTTTCCTCACTCTGGGATCCCTATACCTAGAACACCAAAGCAACTATAGGTATCTCTTTCAAAAAACAGCTGGTTTCAAAACAGACTTGAGTACTGTTAGTCTCTCAAGTTACAGTCAATTAAAATGTAATCAAAGAAACTGCACTGTACCTATAAACTGTCTCTTTTGAACACACCACACATATCTATCTCAGAGCCTTTGCACTTACTACTCCCTCTCCTAGAATGCTCTTGCTCAGTTTTATTTTCTCCCTCCAATTCATTCAGACCCTGATTCAACCATTACCTCCTCAGTCCCAACACATACTCTCAACTCCACTTTATCTATCTTCATAGCTGTATCAGTAACTGACATTGTATTATACATTTACATATTTGTTTAATGTCTATCTCACTTACCAGAATACAAATTCTAATCCTTAAGATCAATAATTTAGTCTATTTTGTTCACTGTTATATTTTTAAGTGACTTCTGGTACATTATATGGGTTCAATAAATGTGGGTTTCTTAATGAAAAATGGGTTTCTTAAATGGATTAAACTGAATAATGAAAAAGTACTATGAGTAAAATCCAAATACCAAATTTGCCAGACTTCAAATAACACCAGAACCAATGTCTCAATTTACAAAAATGCCAAAGGACAATGATATCAAGTCTTCAGGAATATTTCCATACTAAGACACAAAATATTCTAAAGTACAAAAGAAGGTTATGTCAAAGAAGATTATTATACTGGTATATTTTAGAAGCATTTCTAAATACATTTTTAAGATTGAGTTGTCTTTTAAGAATACAGAATATATACTGTCTTCATCACATTAATCAGGCTAAAAATATTCAACAAACTTAAATGCAAAACCTGCTAAACTAGTGCTTCTGAAAGTGTGGTCCATGGACTGAAGTCCTACCACATTACCAGTCCCCAACAATACAAATACAGAAATTGAGAGGAAAACCTTTAGAAACTTTTATAGCTACTTGATATTGCTGCAACATCCAAGTGGTGATCAGCAGACTGTTTGAACAAGGTATAGATCACTTAAGAGTCATCAGATTTGTGTGGCACCTCACGTGTGATGTGAGTTGCATGTTCATTGTGCACATCAAGTATACATATTGGTCAGTGACAGATTGGAAATTCTTTAAAAACTGGTCTTTCACCAAAATAGTTTGGGAAATACTGCTCTGACTCATTAGAGCTATACCCACTATTACCCAAATAAAAAAAATGCTTTTACAGGAATTTACATTACAACTCTATCCAAAATAGCCTGATTGAAATACAGTTCATTAGAGGAGTAACTTTCAAATCTTTCAAAATACTAAACAGTGAATAATAAACAAGATTTAATTTGTTTTTAAAAAATAAAGCAAATAGCTATACTTACTCTATTTGGTGAAATAACTGTCAATTAAACATGGAAAACTTTAAAATAGCTTCCACTCAAATACTTTAAAAACTGAAACCCTTCAAGAAAACAAACTACCTATACATACTATACAAATTAAGACACTTTGGGAAGCAGGAAGAGCCAAGCAAACTATGATTGTTCTTTTCAGTTATTTCAGTTAAAGTGTTTGGTTTGTCATTTTAATCCCTAAATTTTTAAGCATGAAAAATTAACAATGCACTTTATAGCACAGCCAGTAGAAGCTGGGTTATCCCAGACCCACTCCAAAAGAGGTTAACTACTCAAATAACCAAAGTCTCTAGTTTCAATAGTTTCATCTCAAAGATACAAAGGTCTGTATAGGACTGGACTCCAGGGTATGTTATTTTACCACTGACTAATAAGATTAGCGGCGTTAGAGCCTACCATGTATGTCATCTACCAAACTCAAGTATAAAGAGAATGACATACTTCATATTCCTCTCCTCTACTCCACTCTGTCAATTCCTGCTGACACTGCTCTAGTTCGGGTTCTCAACAGTTCCCTCCTGGGCTCTGTCATAACATTCCAGTGTTCTTTCAATTTTTCCGTTCTCCAATCTATCCTCCATATAGCCACCTTCCTAAAACAATAAACTGATCAAGTCATCCCTGCAGGGTAAAAAAAAGTCTAAATTGCTCATGATGGAATGCAAGGCCCACCAGAGTTACCACCTTAACCTCTCTTTTCAGTTTCAGTTCCTACCACAGTCTTACCCTCTTGTTAACTATTTCATTAGCCTGTTCACTTTTTTTCCAAATGCCATGCCTTTTTCTTTTCCACACCACTTCTCATCCTTTTCTATTTCTACTATGAATGGTGAGATTTATAAGCACCAGAATCAGGAGTATATATCATTTCATCACCACTATCTAAGAAGAGAAAAGGAGATGGTGACAAGAGAAAGGAAGGAGGGACTAGGAAAAGCACCATCAGGACCAAACTCCTTGCCATTCCTTAAACGTTTTGCATTTTCTCAGGCCTCCATATACCATCCTTATGGCTTAGAATGTCCTTTTACTTGCATACCTAGAAAACATGTACATCCATCTAGACTCAGTTAAGCATTGCCTTGAAAACATGTTTTACTATTTTCTTCCCCTTTCCTTTTTGGGATAAAGACCACGTGCTCCTCATCTTTGATATTCTATTGTCTAGCATTGCAGCTGGTTCATAAAGGGTGCACAAATTATTTGCTGAATGAATCAATGAATGTAGTGACCCAAACTTTTCTAGGCTACCTCCAGCAAGATAGACAGACAGACGAGAAGATGTTCAAGATGGCTTCTGGAATATGATACTAGTTTTATTTCAGGGCCTGGGGGATAGTATACAGGAGTTCATTTTATTACAGTTCTTGTTTTTTTTTTAATTCTGCCATTTTTTGAACATGAAGTATTCTATATTTATCCCTTTCACCCCATTTCTCAAAGGTAGTCAGCTAAACACTCTATAATATAAATGACAGTTCTTTAAATATATACTTTTTCTTACTCTTTTATATATATGTTGTATTTCACTATAAAAAATTAGAAACCAATCAACTGAATACTTTTAGCACAATAAACAGTGAGAGTACTTACCTCACTTTGTGGCTCCTGGATAACTTTATAGAGAGATGAAACTAAAGAACTCTTGTCTTTCAAATTTGTAGCATAATTTGGTAAAGATGTTTCTGTTAGTGTCTAAACAAATAAAAACAAACATTTTATTTTTTATGAAATGCCCAAATAGGCAAACCCACAGACAGAAAGTAATTACTTGTTGACAGAGACTGGGGGAAGGGAGACCTGGGAGTTGACTAACAGGTATGGAGTTTCTTCATGGGGTGATGGAAGTGTCCTAGAATCAGATGCTCCTGTTAGTCGCATAACACTGTAACAATACTAAAACTCATTGTATTTTTCAGCTTAAGACTATGACTTTTATGTTCTATGAATTGTATACCAACAACAAAAAATTAAAAGTATATTTAATCCTTTTATCAACAGGGACATAAAAATATTAACATTTCATCTTCAATCACAGTTTGGAGTTAGAAATGAAAATGCAAACCAGGTATAAAACCAGAGACATATTTTTGTAGCACTATATATATGTTATAAATCTCAGTAGTAGTATTGCTCTTGCTTCACCTGTTGCATAAGAATTTAAATAATGTTCAAACCTTAAAGTCACAGATCATCTATCAAAGTAATTCCTGAGTTACATATTGTGACTGTTAAGTAAAGCTGTTCTACTTTACAGAATTGGGAAGAAATTTTAAGACTCCTTGGAAATGAAGAAAAAGATAGCGATACTACCAACAAACTAGTTTTCCTAATGCCATTTAAAATATGGATAACTAATCACAGCTTGCCAGTACTACCCATTCAGAAAGGACACCATAACCAGAGGGGACTGGGAAGAAAGAAAACTCCAGTAGTAAGTCAGATGATTTGGGGTAAAAATAGTAGAGAAATCTAAAAAAATACAAACACAAAAGCAAAACACTTTATTACAACAAATAACAAAATCCTATCCTTCTAGAATATAGCCCTTAACAACATCTGTCTCTGAAGTCATTATTTTATCTCATATAAACTACTTCCTTCAACTAATCAATCCATCAGTGAATCAACAAATGTTAATCCTGCAGCAGCTGTAATGTCTCAAGATATGGCTAACAGTTGTGCCAAAATATCCATTTCTTACATGTCCAATATCCTAGTATTTCATGATTTAAAATGGATATGGTTAGTGTATATGTATGCATAAATAGACACAGAAAATTAAAGGGTATAAGTTTTTATAATAAGGATATTTGATTCATTTATACTTTACTGTGAGATCCTTGACAGAACTACCTTATCATCTCTTTATCCATGGCACTCAGTACAAGGCCTCATACTCAAACCTTTGCAGGAAGTTATTATAGATGAACAGCATAAGAAATAAATACTGTCACTGTTTAAATTTCAATAGACCTTTTTTTAAATAGGTCAGATTTCACCTTAGGATATGTAAGTTAATAGATTCCTTTTTAAATTTAATAAGATAATTTTGTTTACCACAATGGTAAGGAAACGTGAACTACCTGGGTATTTCCACCATTTACCATGCAACTGCTTACATAAAGAGGAGATTAGGGCATTCTTCAATATTTCAAAAAGCATGTAACAAAAGATCTCCAGGCAACATTTCATTTCCGTTATTTGATCAAAAGTAACCTAGCACTGGGGGAATTTATATAAAAGTGAATAACAGTCAAATAAACAGCAGATTTCTAATCCTCTGAGTGTAAATGAACCCAGATTATATAACACATTATTATCTGTACATATGCATATATATCTGTGTGTGTGTGCCAAATTATAAAATTTAAAACTAAGTGAACTGAAATAAAAATCTTTTAAAAATTATCAGTGGATAAAAAGATTATTATAACAAATACTACCCAAGCTAAAACTGGAACATTCATAAATATGATCATTACAATTTTCAGCTCATGTACCAATTAACCCTCATATGCGGTACAATATTTTCTGTGAAAAAGCCAAAGGCAAAAGGACCCCTCTTTTCTGAATAACAAGCTCCAGAAAATACCCTGGACCAAGGCTACTATTGCTAAATAAGAGGAAGGGACCTCCTAAAAATTAGTACAGTAAACCATTAGACATTATCACAGTTCTGTCATTATTTCATTTTGTGAATATGGGAAAAGCTACTATTGTCTATAGAAGGAGAGAAAATATGATTTCTGTGTCTATGAACAGAGCTTTGAGAAACTTAAGACCTAACAGAGCCTAGTGGATTTAAACACTGTTACAGCAAACCTTTCCATTTTTTTTGCACTGAACTAGTTCAAAGGTACTTACTGGCCTTCTTAAATGCCAGCTAAGCCTTCTCACTTTTCAGAAAGCAGTCAAAAAAGTAATAATGGGAAGTTATGTTGGGAAATTGTCTTGGCAAAATGTGAAGAAGACAGATGCTTCATACTAACGTATCATTTGGCAGATGGTTTTTTAAAAATATAAGGAGGTAATATCGGTTGGATGGAAGAGAATTAATGAAGATGGACAGATGGGTGGAGAACCAATAAATAAAACAACTCTGTTCAACAACATTACACATAAGACTGGATTTTGAGTCATATATTGAGATTCAGTGCCTAACAGAAAATAAAAAAAATTAGGAGTCTGGAAATCTGCTAGATAAATCTACAGAATTAAGAAAAACACAACACAATATGAAAGATAATATTTTACAAGTAAATCTTTAAAAAGACAAAAATTGAACTACTTATAAAAACCTTAAAATAACAAAGTCTCCGTCTAATCATTTTGTTAATACATAAAGAAAATGCTAATGAGGACACATAGCTAGAGTGGACACTGAGTAGTTCTTCCAAAGGCAAAAAAAAAGGTTTGCACAAAGCAAGTTGTGCTGTCTTTGTGCATTTGAATGTTGACTGAGGTTATGAGGTTGGGAGTTCAAACTGTAACTACAGAACAGTGTAGAGCTAAAATTATCTTCCCAGACATGCTATTTCAATGTTCCCAATGAGAAACTGAGACCCAAAGAAGTCATATGCCTTGTCCACCACCATAAACCATCTAACAGAAGAATTATGATTAGATCAAAGGGCTTCTGACTTCACAGCCGCATTTACTTTGCATCACTTTTATCAATCAGATGATCTTGACTTTATTAGCACCAGTTATTCAATTAACTATATATATTCTAAAACACCCTTTTTAAGTATTTTGCCAAAATACATAATTAACATTGCAAATTATTTCAAAAGATTAGATACTCTAATTTTAAAAGCACTTAAGATATTTATTCTCAAGCACTTATCTTCTATTACCTTTAGTACGCTGCCAGTTTTGCCTGATAACTTTAACCTCTTTATCAAACAGAAACAGAACTAAATTCAACACACATTAACACAATTCAGAGTAACACCCAGAATAATTTTCTGCAATGCCTATCAAAGTAACCAAGAAATTGGAAATATCTTCCCTTAAATGGCTATAATACAGATTTGACTGTAATTTGAAATGTCATAACAAATTTATATAAAATTGGATAAATTTAATCTTGGGGGCTTAAGGGAAAATAAACTACTTCTTATTGCATGGGACCCAAGATTTTACTCCCTTTTCCCCAGTGGAAAATTTTCCTTATCCTTAATTAAATGTATAAAAATTTTAATAAAATATCAGTACCCACATAATATATGTTATATTGATGCCTATAACTGCTGCATTACTCCCCTAACCTCTCATTGCTACACTGCCTAGGATATCCACATATTCAAGCCAGGAGGAGAAGGGACTAAACAGATAGGAATGAAATGGAATCAGTCATATTTTCAATAATCTGCCTTATTTATCCCTCCCCTAAGTTCCATCCTTTAAAATGCCCTCTTTCCATAACTCCCATATTAAAGAATGGCTAACAGGCTATATTTGCTTTTGCAAATTTGACTTCACCATTAAACATGAGAATGCCCTAGAAGTTTGTACTCAACCGTTGAACTTGACAATTTCCATCAACCTGCCAAAAAATAAATCATGATATAATGAACCATATGAAACACTCTTGAAGCAGAAAAAAAAGCTCTGAAACACCTTAAACCCATATTCACAAAGACAACATGCACAGGGGGAGAAAAAGCACATACAAGATTTAATCAAACTATTAAAATACATAGAAGGTACTATATACAGTGTACTTGTAAAATAGTCTACATCACTTTATGATGACTTAGGGGATCCATAGCAGGATACCCAATTCTTGATTATAAAAGGTGAAATCTGCCCAGTTATTCTTTAGAATGAGATAATAATGACAGATAAGGCCAGCTGCAAAATTAGCAGAAACATTGCTTCTCTCAAGGATACAGTGCAACTGAAAAGTGTCATAATCTCCTTTTCTGAGTGACTTCTGTATTCTTACTCACTGAGAAGCCTGCTGTCTAAAGTAGCTATTAAAAACTTTGTTAGTTGAACATATATCAGTAAGAATGAAATATCCTACTCTTGCCTAGAAGATCTAAGCCATCTTGACACAAAGAAGCAGGTTTGATATCCAACTTCCATGCAGAGCTTCAGGTTAGGGGTTTCTTAACACAACATTCCATGTAGATGCTAACTTGGTAGTTTCCAAGAGAGCATGACCCTGGGTCCACTTCACAGTCCAGATCAGATTTGACCCATTACACACAGGTCTACTTTGTTTTAAGCCCATTCATATTGTTTCACTAAATTTCATTTAAACTTCACCCTTCCTTAAAGCTCTATAAAAATTTTATCTTTTCCTTTGGTGAAATGTCCACCTGGTACCTGCTGTGTAGTCTCCCTCACTGAAACAAGCCAATAGGTCTGACTAGGTCAGCCTACGTGTTTGTCTCTCAAGGTCTCAGGTTCATTGGGCTGGGCAAAAAAGTGACAGTTACAGCCCAACCCTTCATTCCTATGATTCATGATCATGAATCACATAATTATGTACAATGATGAGGTGCAGAAGAGAAGGAGAAGGTAATTAACCAGTTAAAGGAACACAATTTTAGCTATAACAGAGAAAGAGACAAGAAAACAGAATTTTTATTTTCTTTGTTAACTAATCAAAAGTTATGCACCTTTATATAGGCACTAGGCTAGCCAGCTAGAGAAAGACCCATTGGTAGAATGTCAAGCAAGTATCTTCTCATATTCTCACTGTTGATCATACCCACTCCCACTGCCCCCCACATTAGAAGGAACATTTCAACACTGAAACTGTGATGGTGGTTGAAGGGAGTAACATCAACATTCACAAACGTTAACCATTCTTCGTTGTGTTGCCACAAAGAGGAGAAAACAAAATTCTTTGAATCACTTGGGAGAAAAAAAGGAATCGATTTCCTGTTAAAGATTACTATATATAAGTAATTCCCCTAATAAGATACGTGTAAGATCTATCTTCTACAGATATTTAGATTTTCAGTCATAATTTTTTTAAAAGCCACTGGAATTTAAACCCCAGACAAAACTTCTTTGGAATATAATTACTATATTTAAACAGTAAATATTACCTTAAACTCTGACAACCATTCCTCCACAACCCCTTTCTCTGAAGTGAACATCTTTCCACATCTGTTCTAAACTTTCAACCTGAAAAATAACATAGAAAAATGTTAAAATTTTGAATACACTTTTTATAGCTTGATTACTATGGACAGAAGTCATCCTTTAAAATTTAGTTACTTCTTATTTGTGAAAATAAAGCAGTTACAAACACAAATTGCTGGGTTCATTTCAAAACCAGTATACACAAACAAGGAACAAAATGCAAGCATTTTGACAAAAGTATAAACAACATAACATGATGAAATTGGCTCTACAATTTTCATTCATCTTTCAGGAATGCCAGCTGCAAAACATAATGGACAATTTTCTCTAGTTTCAATTAAATAATTCCAAGTAGATCTTGCATCTTACAAAAATTCAGAAAATATTTTAAAACTGTGAAAATATAAAAAGACATGCATCCAAAGTTGACTTTATAGAAAGAATTAAGATAATTTAATTTGCATATATTTCAGTTATTTCCAACAGTAACAATCTACCTACACAAGCCACTTGGTTCCCTGAAAGTTTACTACTCATAAAACAAAAGTGATAATCTTCAAGATAATGACCATCTTTGACAATAGGTATTCAGTAGACTGGGCTTTACATAAGTATAAATAGGAAAAAAAGGAGCTAAAGGAAATGCAAAACAAGTTCATCAGGGAAAACTTTTGCAAAGTATACTGTAGTTTTCTTTACCCACTCATCTCTATGAGAACAGACTTAGAAACTGTTTCCTGAGGGACGACCTTAGCTCTATCTGAATTAAGATAGACGGGGCTTTGGAATTATGTCCAAAATGTTACTGAAAACACTTCGATCATATGTTATCCTCCAATAGAGGAGAAAATTCACATCTTCAGTTTCAGTATCAGGAATAATTCTCTTTTAGAGTAATGAACTGGTCTGCTTTTATATTATGGATACTGTGAATCTCATAACTGATTCTCTTTGCTTTGATTCTAATAAAATGAGAGTCAAAGTTTCACCCTCTGTCTACAAAAAAGCAGGCCTAAACTAATCTTAACTACTGTTTTATTATACTCTTATTTTCTTTCTGCCTGGATCTACTTATTTTTGTCTTGTTATATTGTACATATTTTTGAAACAAAATGAAGCAAAGTTAATATAAATGCACACAAGTTTTCTTTTGTAGTTATCCATTGTTCATCTAGCAAATTAGGACAAAAATAAACTATGCGACATCAAGTTAGAGAACTGGAGAGGCAAAATTTTTACAAAAATTCAATATAACTCAATAGTTAAAATTAAGACTGCTTGTAGAAAGGTTAAAAGGAATCAAGAGGGATATGCAAAAGATTTTTAAAAAATAGGCTAAGCAATCTTGAAGAACAACAGAGCTGAAGGACTTGGACTTCTAAATACCAAGGCTTACTATAAAACCTACCAAAATCCACAGTAATTAAGCCAGTGTGGTATTATCGTAAGGGTTGAAAAAAAACAATGAAACAGAACAGACCAGCAAGAAACAGATCTACACATACATGGTCACCAGATCTATGACAAAAGTAACACAGTAAATCAGTAGGGGAAAAACAGTCTTTATAGTAAATGAAGCTAGGTCAACTAGACAGCTACATAGGGTGGGACTGCTACATAGGGTGGGAGGTAGGGGGAGAACCATGACTTATTAGCTCATACTATATGCAAAAATCAATACCAGTTGGATCATAGATCTAATTGTAAAAGGTAAAACATAAAGCTTTTAGAAAACATAGCAGAATATCATCATAACCTTGAGGTAGGCAAAGGTTTCTTAAACAAGACGCACAAAAGCACTAATCATATGAGAATAAAAACTAAGGACAAATTGGATTTCATGAAAAGTAAGAATGCTGACAGATGAATGAATAATATATGTGTGTGTGTGTGTGTATATGTATATATATATATTCAGCCTAAAAACCCAGTGGAATGCTATTCAGCCTTAAAAAGAAGGAAATCCTGTCATTTGTGACATGGATGAACCTGGAAGACATTATGGTAAGTGAAATAAGCCAGACACACAACACAAACACTATTTATCACTTGTACATGGGATCTAAAAAGTCAAACTCACATTAACAGAGTGAAATGGTTTTCAGGGGCTGGGAGGTAGGGACAATGTGGAGATGTTGGTCAAAGGGTATAAACATTCAGTTATAAGATGAATAGTTCTGGCAGCCTAATGTATAGCGTGGTAACTATAGCTAATGGCAACATATATTTGAAATACACTAGGAGAGTACATTTTAATTTTTCTCAACACATACACAAATATGATGATTATGTGAGGTGATAGATATGTTAATTAGTTTGAGAGTGGTTTATCAAAACATCATGTAAACCTGAAATAGAATTTTTGTCAATCATAACTCAATAAAGATATAAAATAAAATTATAAAAATAAAGGAGAAAAAAGGGAAGAACTTCTATTCGCAAAAGATACCACTCATCTTACACTAATGGACAGTGCCTGTATTGGGGTATGGGTGGGGACTTGATAATATGGGTAAATGTAGTAACCACATTGTTTTTTCATGTGAAACCTTCATAAGAGTGTATATCAATAATACCCTAATAAAAATTAAAAAAAAAAAGATACCACTAAGAGAATGAAATGACAAAGCGACAGAGTGGGAGAAGATATTCGCAATTCATATATCTGACAAAAGTCTCATATCCAGAACATTTAAAGAACTTATAAATCACTATGAAAGGGTAGACAATCCAACAGGAAAAATAGGCACATCACTTTTCCAAATGGAAACAACATATGAAAGGTGTTGAACTTCATTAGTCATCAGGGAAATGTCAATTAAAGCCCACAATGAAATATTGTCAGACACACACACACTTACAAGTACGGTTAGAATGAATGACCGGTAATACCAAATGTAGAAAAAGGTATGAAGCAACCAAACTATTTCATACACAGCTAATGTGGATATAAATTGGTAAGAATAAAAACATAAATTGATATAAATCTTGTAGAACTTGGGCAATATCCTCTAAACTTGAACACATGCATACTCAATGAACTCAATTTGATGCATAAAAACATATCCTACAGAAATGTGTATATTTGTTCTCTGAAATATGTGTTCAGGAATATTTACAGTAGCAGGTTTTGTAAACAGTCAAAAACTAGAAATAAACCAAATGTCCATCAATAGTACAACAGGTAAATTATTGTATACCATACATGGAGTTCCCTACAGCAATGACATTAAACAAACTATACCTACATCAATGTCACAATGTTTGGAAAAAGAAGAGAGACAAAAAGAGTACATACTATGTAATTACATTTATGTAAACTTCAAGAACAGGCAAAACTAATTAATCGTGTTAAAAGATAGGATAATGGTGGCTCTTGAAGGAGTTACTTCTTGGGTTCTGGGAATATTCTGCTTCTTGATCTAGGTGCTGATTACACGTAGGTAAAAATTCACCAAGCTGAACACATGATTTATGCATTTCTCTGTATATATGTTATACTTAGTAATATCAGACAGCCCCAGGTCTCTTATCCTGCAATTAACAGAGATTAAATGGGAGCCCTCGAATGCATATGCAGTTCATATGAATACTCCCTTGTTTAACATATGTGCAAGCTCAGAGTAAAGTTGTCCCTTCCCATTCTTAGCATCCTTCTGCAAAGCTCAAAAGGGAGTCCTCAAAACTCCTCCCTACCCTAAATCTTTTACAGCTTCACCACCACATCTGCCTTAGGTCCACCAAGACTGAAGTCATTATTCCTTTCATGCCCATCTATGTCAGGAACCACCAGCACCCAGGTTACACTCACCCCTCACACGTTAATCTTTGTAACTCTTTGCACACACTCTATTTTACCCCCATCTCTCATCCCACCCTAATTCTGGAACGAGGTTCTCTTTCACTTGTGCCTTCTGGAATTGGCAATCTGTTACTACAAGCAAAATCCTCTATATCTGCAAGAAGTCTCTGAATGTCACTTTCTTCTTGTACAAACTAGAATTCTGGCTCTTACCTAAAGAAATGCTCTCCCTGCTACCTTCTCAAAGTGACTGCTTTGCCTCACATAGCCCTGGAAGAAACCATTGATCTAAAGGTGAAGTAAGTGTCCTCCTTCTTCCTTATTACCAGATCCATTCTCCCTCTCTTCCCTTGAACCATCCACCCAGTGTTGCCTTGAGACTCATGTCGCTGTCATCAATCAGTCATCCCCCAAATCCCTAACACCTTCATTTTTAAATTATCTCAGCTCTGTCACTCTTTCAAACTACTCCTATTTAAATTCTTAGTGATTTTTTTTCTTATACCCTGAACTTTTAAGTCCTAAAAAATCTCTTCCAACAGTACTGTCTTTCCATCCTACCTCAGCTATTCAATCCTCTGATCATTACCTAGACCAGCTATTCTCAAACATTTTGGTCAGGGCCATTTCACACTTTAAATATTGAGCCAACCTGAAAAAACACCCAATGCCAAATCAGGAACAATTTGAACAACAAAGGCAGTGCTGAATTATAAATACCAAAGCATGAAATAAATATACATGAGTCCATATTGATACAATAAATAAATTTTAAAGAATAAGAGACAAATCTTCCTTTAAAAAGAATTCCAAATAATAAATACAGAATTCCCCCTTTCAGAATTTAGTCCCTGCCTCCCAATTGAGAGTTGGCTAGACACAGTGATTTGCTTCCAAAGAAGAAAGTATAGGAAAAAAGAGAAAGAGAGAGAGAAAGAGTATAGGAAAGGGAAAAGGGCAACTTTATAGTGGAGAAATCTGGTAAACACTGCCTTGATTAAGATTAACATTACCAATGATGTCATGTGACTTTCATGTACCCCTTGATATGATATGATAAGAAGGGCACTTCACCTCTGTGGTATTCTTTTTTTTTTTTTGCAAATTTTTTTTATTAAGGTATTATTGATATACACACTTATGAAGGTTTCACATGAAAAACAATGTGGTTACTACATTCACCCATTTATCGAGTCCCCACATGCCCCACTGCAGTCACTGTCCAACAGTGTAGTAAGAT